TTTAACACTTCGTTAAAAATCAATCTTAATATATTTTACTGGGAGTCATTTGTATCAGAAATATAAATGCATCGTAATCTAGAAGATTGCAGAGCCATAAATTACTCGTTCATCGGTGAAAGTGTTTTTTAATGCATCAAATATAGGAGAAAAAAAAATCTTAAATTCGAATTATTTTAAAATTTGCATAGTTCAACTGGAATATAATTTAGATAAACGACGAAAATATGATTTAAGAAACAATATTTACTTGATGATTTCTATTCTTAAAATATCTCCTGATCGTTTTAAAGTAATAAAACTCCAACTGTTGCATGTAAAACCACCTCGTTATATCGAATATCAAAAACAGCAGAATTGGATGAATATATAAGATGGAAGCGATGGATTTTTTGCCAGATGTCCCACTAAGTCTTGACATTAACGATATCCTTAGTGATAAAAATGATATATTATTTTTATTGATTGAAACACAAAATTAATAGCTTATCTGTTTCCAGCCTGATAAGTTATCATAACAATGTAGATACGTTTATTTAGAAAAGATTTATATCTTCGATCATTATTAAAGGAATTAAAAATGAGAATGCATGAATTTAAATTCTCCTGGGTTATGGTTTTTGTGGTAGTGTTTGGAGGAATTTTTAACAATATTCTCATTGAAATTCCTACCAAGAAAACTTTCTTGCATAATACAGAATGCTCGCATATTTATGTTATTTAATATACTGTAATGGATGTATTTACAAAAAATGAGTTGAGTTAATGCTTCTAAATGCAGGTTATTACGCTTCTCGATCATTTCTGGTGTTAATCCCATCAAATTCTGAAGTCTTTATTAAGTATGTCAACTAATCCTCATACTCTTAAGTCGCGCCTTCCAATTATTACTTCTAAATAATAAGTACTAATCCTCTGATAAAGAAAATAAAATAATGAATATAAAGTAATGAAATTTATATATTAACGAGCTAAAATTGTTATGAAATTACTGCAATTTTTAATCATACTAATAATTTATTTGATTTAATAATATATGCTCTCGATTTTAATAGTTATCAGGGCCTCCTGCCCTAAGTTTTCCATATCTGGTCTGAATTGTCATCTATCTAACACCGTTCTGAAAATTCAGAAAGGACAGACAGACAGTGAAGAACAGTGAGAATTTATAGGTCTACAATTTTTTCAAATTGCAGCCCAATAAATAGTGTTTTTTTTTTAATGTAAACAAATGGAAAGTTGAAGAAAGGAACTGGATAATTACGTTCTCCTTCTGCTGATTTCAACAGGGACATCAGCCTCTAGCTTGCTGATATATTTATTAGATTATCTTATAAATTATAAAATGCTGGAGGAAATTACACTATTATACCTAAAAATAAACAATGACTTTCGAGATTTTAAAAAATGACTCGCGGGAGAGTATAATTACCATATACTGAAAAATCGATACTATCTGAAAAACGTTCGATATAATCAAAGAAAAATAAAGAATTTAATGATAGAAAAAAAAACTACATATTATTCTGTTAACATTCACAAATGATTTCTTCGAGATATTACTGAATATTCAATTGTCCTTGGCCTTGAAAATGGCGGAACGTATTGTCTAGATTTTCTTTATTGTATCAATCGATAAACATGAAAGTAGGAGCATAAACCTGGTTTCTATCCTGAATTAAGATATATTATACTTTTATGGATTCGACCACTCTAGTTTTACGGTATGGCTCTCCAGATAGGACCGCCATCTTTTTTTTTTTACTGTATAATATTAGTATTTTACTACAAGATCCCGTGTAAGTTGCACTAAAAAGAAGCCATGAAAGTTTTTTTTTATTTTTTATTTTCTCGCGTCTTAAAATGGAAAGTTCGTTGTTTAAAACTTCCAAATTTTTACAATCTTCTGATACAAATAGTTTAAATAATACTTCATCAAACTTATTGTTAATGATATTAATTGCGAATGTATTAAAATTTTAAATATTAAATTAAAATAGCAGAAATTCCTCGATTGCGTCAAGCAAGATTGAAAGACATTCCAAACTAGATCACCTGGATACTATTGATCTTTAGGAATTTCTGACGTGGTAACCACTAAGACACTAATAATTAGTCTGAATGGAATTAGTCGAGAAATTACAATACGCCTACTGTGTTTAATCCAATAAGGTAAAACTCCTAGTTTAAACACTAGAACCGAATGACGATTGGCTCTTCTTACTTACGAATCTTCCCTATTATCCAATCAACTGTTATAACATTACAAAATTCTTCTTGGTGTTCTCAAGGGATAAGCTGTGATGACGCTTGACCTAATTTTTTTTAATGATTATATTATCATCAACGACATAAATTTGTCTCAGTTTGTAACCCAAAAGATAAAATGTCAGAATAATTTTAAAATATGTTCGGTGCCATAAAGCTTACAAAGTATGTTAGTGGAAGAAGAAAAATGGTATTTAATACAGCTCATTTAATGTTCATGGAAGATGAGCAAATAAAAATTTCACGCCTTCCAGTCAGCAAGGATATGAAAAGTATCGATTATGTAAACAATAAAACACGTTTAGTCTATACAAAAGAATTTTATAATGCGAAACAACGCTTTATACGGTTGAAATTACTTCTCCCAACTCGATTAGTGAGATAATTTAATAACTATCTTAAATTATCAGTTTATATATAAGTATAAAAATTTACTTTTCTGTTAGAGATTACGAGTGAAAGCGCCTTAAGTCTTGTATCTAACTTTTCTAGTCGCAAGTTTGATTATTAGAAAAAAAAAAGAATTGTGTAGTGATAGAAGTCACTTTCTTTTGTAGAGTTTTTAAAGGCCTAAACGGTATCAAAACCGAATAAAGGTCATTTAGTTTGAGTTTATAACCGCAGATATCCTAGATTGCTCCAGGTTCAGAACTATTTTCGCAGTTATTATAAATCGTAAATTGAATTCTACTGGTTTTATTATGTGCACTCAGTTCCTCGATATTTTTCTTTTATAATATTTTGACGAAATAAGGTCAAAATGTTTTTAAAAAATAAAGAAATTCTGCCCGAGATGAACTAGAACATATAACTTAGAAAACCCATCATCATCTAGTGACGTTCTAGAGCCAATTTACCCAGTTTTGTCTGAAAATCGGATGGACCAAGCGATTAAAGTGTCAACATATCGCTCTGGGGATCTAGGATCGAATCTTGGAAGAAATTTTCACGAAAGGTCAGTCCCGGATATGTCAACCCTTACTAGTCAGCAGCTCCACGTGGACATAGCAGAAACCATGACAGGTGTGAAAAAAGGTTTTTTTTTAGTGTCTACAGGGCTGTGAAAAAAATCGGTAGATTTTATTTATAATATTACAACGAATATTTTAATTATTTATTGTGACATCGTTACAATTTCAATCATATTTTTAATTTATTTAATTTAAAATATATGTTCTCCATCTCAAATTAGTAGTGTCTTTCCCCTGTACATTATACTTTTTCTGATAACAGAGTCATGCCGGCCATTTAAGTAACTAAGTTCTGGAGGAAAAAGTGTTGAATTAAAATCACGTAACTTCCGTTCTATATCGAAAGTTCTTGTATAATTAATCGGGGCCACCTACCGCAAAGATACCCACATCTGGCCTCGTCTTTCTTACACCTGACATCGTTCTCGAGATTAAGGAAGAACAGACAAACGGATAGACAGTGTAAATTATAGGTCTATAATTTCTTAAAATTGCAGACCAATAACTGTATCAAAGCAAACATATTCAGCGACTTTAACCAGACTTGTGAATAAAAATATAACTGTATCTGGAAAGGTTAATAAGTAATATTAGCATGATCTTGAGAATAGTTGCACTGTTCGCCTGCCGGGCGTTATCATTAATTTTAATTGAAATGGAGCATGTTAATGATAAAGTAAACATGCAGATAACTGCGCGATAAATGACAACGACCATATTTTATCTACTCGAAGTGAGAAGCATTTATTGCTATAATTATCGTATTCATTCATCAATGATAAACACGCGATAAACAATACTCCATATTTAAACCTTAAAGCTTTTTTCTCTACGATATTTACAAAATTTTTAACATTTTTCAGCTCGAATTTCTTGTAATTTCGTAATTTGATGTGAGAGTTTATGTCAAATAATCGACGATGTTTCGATCTGTTTGACTCTTTGGCATTTCTGTCATTGGAGAAACGTTACAAAGACGAAGTAACCGCTTACCTATTCTCCTCACTCCACTTACACTCACCCATTCAAGAGATTATAGACAATTCTAGAAAATACAAAATTAAATTTACTATATTGAAAAATATAAAAAGAAAGTTAAGAACACGATTAGATAAAATTATTATTTTTTTCTCTTTTAAAAATAATTATATCCTCTTCTTATTTATCTCTACAAGTTGCCAATGAGTTTTTCAGTTAAAATAAAATAAATTTTCCACAAGCAAGTACCAATTAGGACAAAAATTCCGAAAAACATTGTTAGATAATAATAATGCTTTTACCGAATACAACACGAGAGATAATTTCTTTACTTTCCTATTCACGAAATCTTTAATAATTTATCTGTGAAAACATTACACTTAATCATTTTTCCATCACTGTTTGTTTTTTTAATACTAAAATAAATTATAAAAGAAGAGGAATTTATGTGGAAGAGACGATCCTGTTAACCATAACATAAATGCGTATAGAAGCGAAGGGCTGGAAGGGAGCCACAACAATCTCATTTTGGCAAACATATACATATATAATTTACAATTTTATTTTTTAAATGGAGAATGTTAAAATATTCAAAAGAATGATTTAATATACTGTACTTAATCCTCCTTTCTTAATATTAATTCTTACTCAGTTTATGCCAAGATCTTAGTTAACAAGTAAAGATGGTTGTATAAAGAAAGTAATAATTCCTGTAAAGTTTTATTATATTGTTTTTGTTTAAGCTTACAGAATTGTAGAGATAACTTACATTAATCTTGGATAACGTATGAAGCTGTGGGGCAGACGGCGGAGAGACGACATTGACCCAAAGACACGACCGCGTTTAACATCGACTCCAATGCGCCGGTCCAATCGAATCTCGACTCGAAGTTGCCCATTTGGACGAACGTTCTTGTAGCGTGTGCAGTTCTACCTGTGGATCTGTGGATAGTAAACGCAGCTAACAGTTCTATCCATCCGCCGATGTATCTATACGCTTATGGAAAACGAAAGAGAACTTTATTACATCGCAAACAGTTCTATCCTTTCGGTTTTTTGGGAATTAGCCACATATCGAACCTTTTCGACTACCCAAAAGGTCCAACTGGCCAACGATTCGTGTCTATGGGATATAAATGCCACTACGGAAGAAAGGGAGGCCGAACACAACCTGTCGTTGGATATAACACTTAGTGAATCGTCCGTAGTCGGGCCACCCGACACTTATCCCAATCCGGGTTATCTAGCTAACGTAGCTATTGCTGTACCTATGGGAATAAGTCTATACACTTTGAGCCTTCTTACCTTTGTGGGCAACGCTATGGTCCTTCACGCAATCAGAACGGAAAGGAGATTACAGACGGTGAGTTAAATTACCCAAAAGTAATGTCTCTTCGAAAAACTAGTCGTTAAGATCTTGATATTTATCGAAAATCGATACAAATAACTTATATATTCCGTATATAACGTATTCTTATACATACGAGACGTATCCCCATTCATGCTTAACCGGATACGTTTTATTCTTTATAAAGTCTTCCTTTAGCTTTTTAGGGAATTTAGTTATTGATAATTCATTAAAGAAACGAGGAAATTCTCTATAAAGTCTCGAAAATACGCGCATCTGGACACCTTTCTACGCTGTTGTATTAACGAAACTTCGCGTGACTACAAACTTTAACTAATATAATAGAGAATTTAAAGCTAGAAAATTTTATGACATAGTATAAAGAAAAGTAAAGAAAGTAACGATTACGTTCTATAATCGATCCAACTAATTATAGAAATTTTAATTTAGACGAAAGCTACAAACTGATAAGCTACTTTAGACATATTTCGTGATTACGTTATAACTCCGAGACAATGGAAGACATATAAATATTAATATATATATTTTTTACTGTCCCTCTGTAAACGTTTTAATTAAACATTAAAAAATTCTTCTACTGTAAAGCTCTCTATCAGGCATGACCTGCAGCAATCTAATACAGAAGAAGCGCTTGTATTTTTTCTATTTACAAATAACAATAACTTATTTTTCACTATACACGAGAATTTCGAATTCCGTACAAATCATATTTTCCAAGGAATTCAAAATTTAATAAAAAGAAACTAATAAAGTTATGCATGATATAGAAGTCGTCGAACCTTCATTCTTCTTTATAAAAATTTTTTACTCTACCCTAGAGAAATTTTATATTATGATTTTATTTTCTTTTAAAGTTAAGAAGATAATTTCGAATTTTACCAGTTATTTAAATTTATATATATATATATAAAATCACTAGACTTGTAAATGAAGAGTTGTAAGTATATAGATTAAATCTAATTTTCTAATAACAATAGAATTATGGGGGAGTTCGTGTTAAGAATGTATGAAAAGAGAGAGTTGAATGGATTAGTACGTTATTTTTAGTCGTATTTTTAATAATTTTCTTGCAAGAAACTGAATTCGAATATCCTGAGAGAACAAATTTCTTTCGGGAATTAGTTTAATTAAGAGAAAACAGTCATTTTCTTTTTTATATACAGTTTTATATCGAGTAATAAATCACCATTTTATAATTGTAATCAAATCTCTTTTCCTTAATATATATTTAAATTTTTTTTATATATTATTTAATTTCGTATTAAATTCTCAATGAATTTTATTATTTTATCTGAAATTGTAAAGTTAAATATTTATGAGTGAGTAGCGTGAAAGTATTGAATATTACCTAAACAAACGATAAAATATTTATAAATCTATTTTGATCGAATATTTAAATAGTTATATTGTATATTTAAGTAAAAAGTATCTATTTAAAGTATAGGAATAATCTATTTAATATTTTTTTTCTAATTAAAAATGCTATTCAGAAACATTCTTATTGACTAGTCAGACTTAAAATAAAATGCAAATACTTTCAGTCAAGAAATATCTAACTTATAGATTTTCGATATTTTTCAATCCATTCAGACATTAAAAAAAATTAATTTGATTAAGAATAAAGGTTTAAAAACACAGTCTAATTACTTTTATTATTCCTGAAAACGTGTATATATATATTTTTTTCATTTAAAATTACTATATTAGAGTTTAATTTCTCGTTAATATTTAAATAGTAAACACGCTTGTTAGCATGAAGATCTAACGCTGTAATAATTGTAACAATAAGAAACGTGGTGTGTTCGTCTATAGGCCTTGTTTCTAATTGGAATTCTCGCGTTGAAACCTCGAGAGGCAACCAACAAAACATTAAATCCAGAAGAGAGAACATAATCTCGGTTGTCTCTCTCTACCAGGACCAACTCGATTACATTACCAACTTGTCAGGCAAAAGAAAAGTTTTAAAGAAATTGCTACCGTATCTGTTTTCTGTTTTCAGCTCGTTAAATACACCGCTTTTGGGATTAAGTTTCTTCTACGTCCATCCTACATTTATCAAAGATAGGAAGGAGATGCCCATTTGTATGGTTCTATACTTTATGTCGCTTGATTTTCTGCTTTTTTTCACTTAATTAAGCCTATCGATCAGTTTTGACAGTAAGTAAAAATTCCTACACTTAAATAGGAAGAGAAAAATTGATTTTTCTACACTTCGAAATTAAATTAAATATTAAATAAACGTGAAATTTTATAAATAAATGTGTAGCAACTGATTGGAAAATGCCAAATTTTCACTGACTTTATTAACTGAACATAAAATTTTCATATATGGTTCTAAAACAATAGTGTTATTAATTAATTAATAATAGAACTATGGTTGCATCTACAATGATTTTGATGTTGTCTTCATTTCAGATTAAATATTTATTAATAAGTTCTAACCCATTGTTAATTTGCCCTACATTTAATTATCATATAATTTGCCAACTGTTGTATAATTTCAACTGCTAATACAATAACATCTATCTTACACATTTCAATTGGGTTCTATATATATTCTGTGTTATTTTAAAACATTAATTTACATGGAATAAAGGTATTATAAAATTAAAATATAGTTTTATAAACTAAAAAACTAAAACAGAGACGTATGGATCCAAAAAATTGTCTTTTTTTGCCCAAATCTATAAAGAACTACAAAATTTCTGCAACTTTTAATAATAATTTTAATTTATTTAATATAAAATATATGCTCTCAATCTCAAATTAGCAGTGCNATTATAGAAATTTTAATTTAGACGAAAGCTACAAACTGATAAGCTACTTTAGACATATTTCGTGATTACGTTATAACTCCGAGACAATGGAAGACATATAATTATTAATATATATATATATATATATATATATCACAGCAAGTTTGATGAAAGATGATAATTACGAGTCAGAAGTTAGTGAAGTTGTTACGTAAAGTATAAAAGGAAAATTTTACTAATTAGACAGCAGAATAGAATTGTTATGAATGTTTTATTGTTAGCAATTTATTGAAGAAAAAAAAAGAGAGAATTGAAAAATGAATTCTTCTTCTTTCGCTTTTCTTCTCCTAAGATGCGTAAAGAGATAGCCAAAGGAAGATAAGAGGCTGGTAAACGCCATAGAGAATTGTTAGTCAATTTTTGAGAATGCCAACAAACACTGGTAGTCACGATATTTTACGCTGTTGACCTAGTTTATTTTTAATAGAAATATGTATTTCGAAATACACTCTTCTTCTTTTTTTTTTAAATTACGATTGAAGAAAGGAAAAGTTGTAGCTTCCTCTAAATTATTTATCGATCCGGATGATTTTAGTTTCACATTCTGTAGTAAAAAAAAAAAGGTTGTTTGTATATGTGAATACAGGCTTTAAATATATTAATATATATATTTTTTATTTTTATATCTGACAGTTTTAAAATGAATATATTCATTTATTACTCCCTGGAACACATAAAAATTTCATTTTTTTTCTCCCATATTCTTATGCCAGATACAAAAAGGACATTTTATATAATTAATGATGAGAATTTTCAGATGTTTTTCCCTTTATGTGTTATAAAACATGAAAAGAAATTTTAAAATCGGCGTTACCTGTAAATCCCATCCTTATAATTTGTTAGTATTTCAAGAATTTCGTAAGAATTATATTTAATATAAATAAAAATGAGTAGTTTAATTACTTTAAAATATAAAAAGTTAAAATGTTGTTATTTTAACTTTTACTTTATACATTTAAATGTATCTGTTCTATTTCTTTTTGTTTATACGATTAATATTTATGATGTAATATATGAGAATTTTACTTATTAACGTAAAATATTTAGATTAATTTTATAAATAATTTTAAATTTGCGTCCACATTAATATTATATATACATATATTTTAAAATATTCTATCTATACAAAAATTCAAGCAACGAGTTGCTTAACTTTCACGGCAAGAGTTAAAATTGTGCGTGCTCCATCTGTTAGGAAATTAAACTAAAAAATTGTTTTTATATTATAGATTACTATAAAATGACAAAAATCTTAATCTTGAGGGAAGAGATGAGTTTTTAAAAGAACTGTAAATGCTAATAACGAGTAAAATCTTCATTAAGTCCGAGCACGCTCGAGATATGACACACGACCCTCTTCTATCTCCCCACTCTTTCGACTTTTAACCACCAAAATCTAACAGTATCAATGCCCTTAATACACAAAACTCCCTGAAAAATTTCAGAAAGTTTTAACTAGAATCACAGGAGTTATTAAGCTTCAAAATGGGTGAACAAAACTGTGTCTTCTCACACACAGATGCTCACATACAGATATACCCACAAATGTTTTGGCATTTCTGGTGCCCTGTCTCCAAAAATGTAAAAATTTTGATGGGTTAATTTTTGACCGATTGCCATATTTTCCCTTTGTTACACATAACAGCCAGAAAGTAACAAAAGCAACCCATATAAGTTAACTTGACTGAATTAGGTGCTTTTATCAAGCACCCAATTCAGTCATTAAGTGCTTGATAATGTCTTTTATCAAGCACCTGATGACTAAATTAGAAATTTCGTGCTTTCCAGAACCCATCAAAAATCATGGGGAAAAAATCGAAATGTTCAAAATACTTTTAATAACGCAAATCTGTTTAAAATGGTTATTTCTTTCCTGTTTTCTTTTTCATATTCTGCAACACAGTATTAGAAACATCATTAGTGAAATAGGAGAGTAATAAAAATGTAGATACAAAGAGGATATATCGTTAATGCAGATGCCTTATCAGAAGAGCTTGCAGAATGTTAAGTACAAGCCAGATGGGACATCAGAACCATTCATTTCCAAAAAAAAAATAAAATAAAATACAATAAAAAGAAAACTGTTTGAATGTACTCGCTCTTGTTAAATCTCCCGATATTTATGTAATTATCATTATTAAATATCATATGAATTTATCTTATAACTCCACCAATGGA